TGCCGCCCGGCCGACCACCGTCGCTTCAACAGGATGGGCGCCACTGCAGATAGCGCCTCCTGCAGTTTCGCCACGCCGCCGCTGCGGCGCCGAAACGCAGTGCTCGCACACGACGGCGGTGCCCGCGGGGCACGGGAGGACCCACTGCCGGTAACGCACGCTGCGCCCGCACGAGGCGCAGCCCCTGCCTGCCTCCCTTCGCTCTGCTTGGGCGCCCGTCCGCAGCGGACCTGCACGTGGCGCAGGGGGCGCGCCAGTGGCGACGGCGACCTGCCCAACTACACGGCGCTGGCACCCCAACAGCTTCAGGAGGTCCCCCGGCCCCAGGTGCAGCGGCGTCCCCAACGATGTGCAGCGCAGCCTGCACTTCAGGATCGACGGGCGCCTGCAGCACGGGCACTCGGACGGGACATCCCCCGAGTGCTCTTCCATGGAGAATGTCGTCGGCGACGTCTCTACTTCCACAGTGCTCGTCGCTCGCCACTCCTCCTCCAACTCCCAGCCCATGACGCGTCCTCACTCTCCTCCCACAGCTCATCGACGTTCTACTCCTCCTCCGCCGCCTCCTCGTCGCACACCCTCAGCGATCTCCTGCTGTTTATCGTAGCCGCTGCCCGACACTGGCGTCGCCGTCGGGATGGGAATTCTCTACCCCGACCGGACCTCCATACACAGGACGCGTTCCGCAAGGTCCCGCTGGGCCTCCTCTGGCAGGGTGGCCTCCCATGGGCGTGCCAAGCTGGCTGCCTGACGGCGTGTGGAACCCGATGCTGCTCACGTGGGACTCCGTGGGCGTCGGCGCCCGCACTGCCTCGTCGTCCTCCTCCACCTCCTCGACCTCCTCCGCCGGCGCAACTGCTGCCGTGGCGCTGGCACTACCTCCTCCAGCTCCCTTGCCTGCCCGAGATCCTGCAGCCCTGGGCCGGGCTGCAGCTCCAGGCGGGGCTCCCCTGCGCGTCGGCCGTGGCGCGCAGCGAGTCCCCGAGGGCGCGGCGGTCCGCAGGAGGGGCTTGGGGTGCGGGTGGATCTCCCCTCCTGACTACCTACCGGACCAGCCCAAGCCAACCCGACGGCACACAGTTCGGGTTCTGGGGGGGGGGGGCACGGGTTCCACCTGTGCTTTGTGCTCTGCAATGTTCTCCGACGCGCCCCCCACCCCCTCTGGGCATGGAGGACACATTGGGGCATTCGGGTTGGGTTGGGGTGGCTCGGAGGGTGCCCTGCGTGGCCCTCGCCGCAGGGGTCGCATCGGCCTGCAGCGCAGCCTCCCCCGCCGGTGCCTTGGGCCGCTGAGACCGCTGCGTCCCCGGCTTCTGACGCCTGCTGCGCGCAATCATGAACCTCGGGATCGCGCCCTGTGCGAATACAGGAGGGGACCGACCACACGAAGCCTTGCACAAGAAACCCAGTCCTGAGACCCCAGGACGTCCAGGCACCCTGGAGGCAAGCAGGGTGTTTCTTGGCATGGGTCTCCACTGTAGCCCACAGCGCCTGGGGGAGGTCTCCCCACGCAGCGCCAGCCCTCGCCAGCGCTGGCAGCCCAGCCCCGCCAGCACAAATGTGCGTCAGGACCATGGATCCTGCATGGGGGGGGGAGGTAGGGGACGGGGAAGGAAGAAGTGAACAGGGAAGAAGAACTTGGTCCCCGCTTCTCGAACCAACAAATGGCTTAAACCAAAAGGTTTCTTGCTGCTGCTAATGATGCTTCTGCTGCTGCTTCTACTCCTCCTCCTCCTCCTCCTCCTCCTCCGCCTCCTCCTCCTCCTCCTTCTACTCCTCCTCCTCCTCCTCCTCCTCCTCCTCCTCCTCCTCCACCTCCCCCTCATCCCTCCCTTCCCTCTTTGAGGGGGGTCGGAAGGGGAAACTCGCCCAGGTGTGGAAACGCTGACTTGGAATCGGCGATGCATCGGCCAGAGATCGGCAATAGGCTCCCGAAACCAAAAACATGTATTTTGGGGCATGATGGGGGGCCCAAGCCCCAATTGGCCATGAATTGGTTATTGGGGATCGATGCTTCCCCCTCTGAACTGGGCCAGTCCGCAATCGGCGCCATTGACCTTAACGCCTCATCCTCCACCACCCCTCCTCCTCGTCCTCCTCCTCACCCGTCTCCTCCGATCCTTCTCCTCCTCCCTCTCCCCCTCCCCCTCGCCCTCCCTCTCCCCCTCCCCCTCCTCCTCGCCCCTTTTCCTGGCCGAAGATCGGCCACCCACGTGGCATACCGCCAACAGACGTGCACACGGACCCTGAGCCCAGGCTTCCTGGCCGGACCAAGACCTGCGTAGGTCCACGTCGATCCGATCCGATCGGCATGTCGTCATGGTCGTGGTCGTTGTCGTGGTCGTCGTCGTCGCGGTCGTCGAGGTCCTCGTGGTCGTCGTCGCGGTCGTCGCGGTCGTCGTGGTCGTCGTCGTCGTCGTCGTCGTCGTCGTCGTCGTCGTCGGTGGTTGCGGCAGCGGCGGCGGCGGCGGCGGCGGCGCCAGCGTCGTCGTCGTCAGCGTCGTCGTCGTCGTCGCCTTCGTCAGCGTCGTCGTCCATGCCGTCGTCAGCAGATCCGATCGATCCGCCCGTTTCTTACGACTCCGCTCAGATGAGGCCAGATTCGATGCCAATTCCGATTCCTACCTCTCGACTTCTGGATGCGAGGCTGGCCATCCGCTCCCGGCGGATACCTGGCGTCCTTTTCTGGCTCCTCCGTGCTCGCGTATATACGCTGCACCCTTCGCTATGACCTCGAGATGCCCTGACTCCCCCCCAGGGACCCACAAGTTAGAATGCCACTCTGGAGCTCCGAATCCCCTACAAGTGTCCCTCATCGTCCGTCCTCCCTCTTCCCCCGCCTCCCACGTCCTCTTTCCTCCTTCCGCATTCCTCGCCTGGCCTGCTCCTGCGCCTGTCTCTCGCCCTTCCTCCTCCTCTTCCCCCTTTCTGTCCTCGCGTACGCGACGCCCGTGAAGCGCGCTTCGTCGTCCCAGGTGAAGGCCCGGACCTTGACGGCGCAATCCCCAATCGTCACGTCCTCTACGACCTCGGGGGGGGCGGGGGTTGGACGCCGCGCCCACCCGGGCCTGGCGAAAGGGGGGGATAGCAAAGGGGGAGCTTGAGAATCAGCTCACGTAGCTGATTTTCCCAACGCCTCCCGGCGCCGGGAGGCGCCCATGTATCGAAGAATGGGCTCGGCGGCGGGGCCGAAACCAGCTGCATGCAGCAGATTTCGTAACCCCCCCTTTCCCTATCCGCCCCTTTCGTTCGGGCCGACCCACGCGCCCCGCCGCCATGATCTTGCGCTGGGGCAGGCAGGGCCGACTGGTGTCCCGTGGCAGCCGGACGCGCGGCAGCACAGGCCGTGGCTCTGGCACGGGCACGCTGCGGCACCCAGGGATCGCCACGCCGCTGCCTGCTGGCAGACGCGCGGCACTCGACGTGCACACCCACCGCCGCAAGAGCCCCGGAGAGGCCAGCATCCCTCGGCCTCTGACTCACCGTCTCCTCCCTTGTTGGGGCAGGCGCGGCGTCTGAAGCACAGTCGGCCCTCCGTTGGGGCCGCCCTGGTCCCGAAGGAGCGCCCTGCACCGAACACCTGGCTCAGGATCTGCGCTCAAACAGCTCGAGGATAAGGATAAGGATAGGGCCGTCGGGGAGCGCTAGTCCTGGCACTGGTAATAAGCCTGGGTTCCATAGGTAGTATATGGATGCAACGCCCTTGGATCGCTTGACCCTCGGGGCAGCCTGGGGCGCGCGCGCCCAATACAGTAGTAGGGGGCGCGCTGCCCCGATGCAGGAGACCCTGCCCTGCTGAGGATGGGAGAAAAAACATGATGGACCCACGAACCCGGAAAGGGATAAAGACATGTGCAGCATGGTCACGTTTTCACGATACCCAACTGGGCGACATCTCACGAAACATTCCACGAGACACCCCGCGAAACATCCCACGAGACACCTCACGAAACATTCCACGAGACACCTCACGAAACATTCCACGAGACACCCCGTGAAACATTCCACGAGACACCCCACGAACAGGCAACCACTCAACCAGACACGCCACGAAACATTCCACGGGGGTGCGACTGGGTGTGGTCGTGCTGGGGTGTGGTCGTGCTGGGGTGTGGTCGTGCTGGGGAGTGGTCGTGCTGGGGTGTGGTCGTGCTGGGGGGTGGTCGTGCTGGGGGGTGGTCGTGCTGGGGGGGTGGTCGTGCTGGGGGTGGTCGTGCTGGGGCGTGGTCGTGCTGGGGTGGTCGTGCTGGGGCGTGTGGGGTGTGGTCGTGCTGGGGTGTGGTCGTGTGGGGTGTGGTCGTGCTGGGGTGTGGTCTTGCTGGGGTAGGGTCGTGCTGGGGTCGGGTCGTGCTGGGGTGTGGTCGTGCTGGGGTATGGTCGTGCTGGGGTGGGGTCGTGCTGGGGTGGGGTCGTGCTGGGGTCTGGTCGTGCTGGGGTGTGGTCGTGCTGGGGTATGGTCGTGCAAGGGTGGGGTCGTGCATTTCGCTCGAGACATCCTGCCAAATTTCCAGGATATCGTACAAAAACAAACGAATTATTCGAGACATCATCGAAATTCCTTCGCGCGGAGCACTTTTCCGCGTCGCGGTCGGCTCTGCAAAACCAGCGTTTCGCTCGAGACATCCTCAGCAAATTCTGAAAACAAGCGTTTCGCTCGAGACATCCCCAACTCTGCAAAACCAGCGTTTCGCTCGAGACATCCTCAACAAATTCTGAAAAACAAGCGTTTCGCTCAAAACATCCTCAAATTTTAATCTGCCGGCCTCCTTCGACCTCGATATTGATCAGGGAAAAAATCCGCCGGCCTCCTTCAAGTTGGCACCGGGGGACATGTTTACATAGTAAAAGAGAACCCTGGGCCCCCGCCCTTTCCGGGAACAGGAGGTACGCCTGCACACATTCGTTGTGAGCGGGGCCGCGCCTCTAGGGACCTTTCGCACCCCCCCCCTCCTGCCTCTCCACACACCCCTCCCGCAGAGAGCAAGAGAAGAACAGCACTTGCGTGAACATGCAATGTCGTGGCCGTCTCACTGGACGGCAGGAGAAGTAACAGACTAAGGGGCAGAGCCACTCTCAGTACTAGACGTCGAACTTCTGGTAGGCCCTGGTCTGGATACGACAAAGAGTGTCCCTGCGATCGTAGTACCCCCGCAGAACTCTGAGTTGGATCTGTAGTGCCAGCTCTCACTCTGGCCGATGCGCATCTGCCTGCAGGCCTCAAATCCAGTCCACCCCAAAGCCCGATCCTGCCGCGGCCGCCGCAGACTTGCACCTTGTGCGGATGTCTCCGCTCTCGCTCTGACCTGGTAGTACCCGGTCTGCCACCACTTGGTGGGCTCGCTCGGCTTGTCGCGCGGCGCGCGCGGCTGGAAGTTGCTGTGCGTCGTGTTCTGGCGGAGCGGCCTCTGCGTGGTCTGCGGCTCCACGACGTCGTAGCCCATCCCCTTCGTGCCCTTGGTCCACTTGGTGTAGTAGTCGCCGATCTCGTCGGGCTGCTTGCGCTCGCACTCGCGTTCCCATGGGAACGGGCCGCGGGGGTGCCTGGAGCGATCGGTAAAGATGCTCTCTAGTCCTGATGCAGCATCGAGCGCCTTCTTTACCTTATCGATCTGGTGCTCGAGATGTAGCACTGCCTGCGCCCTCTCAATCTCGCCGCGCGGCTTCTGGCTCGCGTTCGACTTGAGGCGGCCGGGCAAGATTGCATGGCGCTCTCCTTGTCGCTGAAGCCCAAACCCACGACACTGCGTTGGAGGAAGGCCTTCTTCGGATAATTTCGGAGTTGCGAGTAGGCTAGCGTGGGCGAGGTTGAGCCTGCACTCCACGCTGCCAAAGACCTGCTCGCCCCGACTGTTGCGGTGCTGGTTTCGCTGGGCGAAGATCGGTCAATTCTTCGCGTCGCCCTGCTGCTGACAACCCGTAATATTCGGAGAGTCCGCCCGCGCCGCTGCACGGCCTCCGCGCGGTGATTGGGCCATGACGTAACTGCGTAACCGCGTTGTCCGCTGGGCGGAGCTCGCGCAATAATTCGTCTCTGGAAGCCTGACTAGTTGGAGCCAAAATGCTACGGATGCGAACCGAAGTGGTGCAAACTCTGTGATGCCGTAGCCTGGGCGTAGTGGCCCTCCGTTCTTTGCGCGGGTAGCAGAAATCTCCTGGCTGGCGATGCTATCTGGCCCGCTTGTGGTCTCGTGAGCCTTGTATGGGGCCCCATCTGTGTTCCGTGTCTATGTACTTACCCACGTTTTTCCCGGTGCCGAAATTGGATGGAGCCCTAACCGTTGTTGTTATTACCTATGTCCCTCATTATCTTCACGCAGCTTAAACCACTGCAGGTAGGTAGTAACTTGTCGTATGTAGCTGACACGGCTCGATTCCCTGACTAGTTCCCCAGCGGTATTGCAGAGGTCCTTGGAAGGGGGGCCCTATGCGACTCATGTGCGACATGCAAGCCGGGGTCCTTGTCTCATCCATCACTGTGCAAAACGGAAGTATAGCAATGGTGGGTGAGGAGGGGGGAAGCGGAGGAGGTGGCGGGGTCCGTCGGGGCTGCCCCTCTCCGTCGGGGTGGCCACGCGCAGTCAATTAGACGCACAACCGCCGTGCACTTGTGCGTGATTACGTTGTTCTTGAAATCGCACACGGTCCTGACTGATCAGCATTGTTCCTCTCTCACGGTGGGCGGGGGAGCTGGTAAGGTGGTCGACGCGTTGGTAGTGCCGACGAGCGCGGGGCCTGCAGCAGCCTCCGATGGCTCCGGCGGGCTGCTGCTCGTGTAACTGGTGAACTCCGTAGTGCCTGATCTCTCATGCCCCGTTCTCCTTGTGGAGCTGGCGTTCGATCGTGCGCTCGAGCCCCGTTTTTGGCCTGCCAGACCTGCTCTTGCTGCCGCCCTGATGCGCGATCGCCGCGTTGGGGGCCTGTTTGAACATCGCCGCCTGGAAGCCCAGCAACTTCTTGATTCACTGCTCCTCTATCTTGTCCTGGTACATGGCGGCCATGCAGCATGGGCTGGTGTTGATCGCGAACGTGATGTTGGCCTGGCGGTCCAGGTCCATAGTGTCGCCTTTTCTGGCGCGTATACTGCACCTTGCGCCTCTCGAAGATCTCCGCGACGACCATGAGGCACCATTATCCCGCGATCGGCTGCGTGAGCTCCTGGTGTACCTGTAGTGCTGGTACGAGTGCCTCTGGGAGTGCTTTTCCTTGTTGTAGTTGCGTAGCCAATCCTTCCCCTAGACTGGCTGCCACGCGCCCGCGGGCGGGCCGAGCATGCGTACTTTCCTGTGCCCCATGACCTTACGATCGCACTCCTCGCCAATCTCCAGCGCGAGCTGCACGGCGAAATTGGACATGTTCAGGAGCCAGAAATCGCCAACTTCGTTGGCCAGCTCTCGGATGGCGGCGCTGTTCTGCAAGGTGACTTTCTGCGGCACCTTCATCTCGTCTCTGTCTCATACTGCGAGTTGACCTTGTCCTCCGGCTCGTGCCACGCCGTGGGGCGATGTCTGGCTGCCCTTGCCCATTCCTGCGAGCGTCTTCGCTCCTCGCGACTGTCCTTCTGGGATGGGCTCTCCTTCTCAGCCATTGCCCCGTGTAGTATGGGCCGCCTGGCCTCTGGCAGCTCGAATCTGGTCGGGGCCTGCCAGGCGGGCGCGCGCGCCGCTGGCACCCTGAGAAAGTTTGAGCCTCATGGCCACAAATAGAGCAAGTCAATGGTATAGGAGGAAGTACGTCGCGCAACCATTTACACATGTCTAAGCGACCCATCCCGCGGTAGTGAACTGCCCTTGCAGCATGACCCACCGCCGTTCTACGGTTGACAGGTGTACTATAGCACCAAGGGCTCTCGTTGGTAACTACTACTCAAGCAACACTGGGCCGCGCGATGTGCACCGCTCACCGGTGACCTGCCAACGCTGCGTAGGTAGGAAAGCGCAGACCACCTGCGCGTTCTGTCCCGCATGCACGTGTAGTGATATGATCGCAACAGTACGGCTTAAATAGTTCCCCCCCCTCTTCCTGTTTCCTATCCATTTGTTTTGTGGGGGCACCCCAGTTCCTGCGATGGCTGCGAAGACTTTGGGATCCAGCTGGAGTGCCCAGGGGTCCCAGGCTGTAGGGCGGATATATATATATATATATATATAATGTACGCTTTGCAAACCATTCCATACTTTAGTATGCGCGTGCTCGTTGTCCAAGGTCTTCTAAATAAAGATTGTAGCGCCCGTGGTGTAGAGTCGTCGCATGCCCTTTCCATCTCGCAGCCTAAATTGTAGTTTGCGCGCATCCAACCTCGACGCCCCGAAAACTGTCGCAACGTCCGCTCCGTGCTCCTCTGGATATCGCGCCCCATTCTGGTGCCATCGTAGTCTCCTGACTCGTAGCGCTGTCGCCGTTGTCTCCTATCGCCAATAGCGCAAAACTGGCGCATTGTTGTTGCGCCCGCTGGTTCCGCCGGCTCGTGCCCGCGACGTCGCTCATCCTGCCATTGTTCGCAAGTGCGCTGCCAGTGCTCTGTCTAGTGCGTCAGCGTGGGCCTTCGTGACTGGGAGTGGCGCAAGTCCGCTCGATGCTGCCCCTCGTACAAAGGCTATGGACATCATTCTCCTAAGTTGTCGCGGCGCGCCCGATGTCTAAAATATTCCACTTTGTCTCCGCGCATTCCTCGTAGCGGCAATGCGTCGTGCGATTTCCCCAGCGCAGCCTTGCCCCGAGGGTGGGCAAGGTCCAATGGCCCCCAATTCCCGTAGCGCCGCGCCCGCCAACCTTTTGCTGCGTCGTAGTGCACGCGTAGCGATGTAGCTGCCCGGGCCCGCTAGTTGCCCTAGGCGGTTGATTCTTCATGGTTGAGTCCCCAACCTCCCGTCGACAACGCGCCTGCTAGCCTCTTTCCAGTTGCGTTCAACAAGTAGCGATCTCCTGCGCCCCGCGGCGCGTAGAGAAGTTGTGCGCGCGAGTGATGTCGCCCATGAACGCATTGAGCGCCAGGTCGTGGGCTTCTCCTGCGACGGGGTTAACCGCGTCGCGAAGTTGTTGGTTTGGGTCCTGTCGTTCTTCCTGCCACCACTTGTCCTCGCATATGTTGTGCGCGACGTGGAATGGCCGATGGCCGCCAGCGCGCGCCGCTGATCGTCTTCGCGCGCGTGCTTGTAAGCCGCTGCTCGTAGGAGGGCTCGCTTCGTCGCTGCAAAGGCGTTGGTGCCGTTGTAATTGGTAGCGACAGTACTAACACCCGCTTCTCGGGCTCTCCATTGCGCGGCACATACGCATAGTATTGCATTTTCTCGGCATCGATGCGGCAGCCCCCCTCGGGCCCACGGTGGGCGGTCGCTCTGGGCGCCGCGCCTGGCCATGCCTGAGTGCCAAACCATGCTGGAAGAGTCGTTGACGTGGAGGATACGCTTCCCCAAGATACCTTCCTTGTTGCTGTTGTTTCTGGTGGGATTGTCTGAGATCGGTGCCAGTCGAGTGGTGCCGTCTGCATAATCCGGCAATGTTCAAAAACTATGTGAAGGTAGGGCTGGCTCGTAGGTGTAGTTGATCTCGTGTAGTTTCGGTGCTCATAGTCCTGCGTATTGCCCTCGTCCCCCGTCGTGAGATCGCGCTGCCCATCTATACCCCCTTCTTCTCCACTGCTGAGGACTGGCCCGGCGCCCCGCCCCATTTTCTGGAGTTGCCCCCTGCCTCGCTTGACCTTCCCCAGTGTAGTATAGTGGGCCAGGCCCTCTTGGTCCTCCTTGGCCTCCGCCGCCGCAATCCTCTTCAACTCCAGCCGTTCACTTTGCAGTGTCGGGTCAGCGAGGTGGAGAGAGGGGTCGAGAAGGAGCCAAGCACGTTCTGTGGGTAGTCCTCATTGTGGCCGCGCCCGTCGCCTGCACGCCCGTGCGCAGCACCGTAGTATTTGTTGTTTTTCCGAGCCACTGCTGCTTGAAGTTCGCGGTTGTTCGGCATTGGGACCGCGTTGTTCCCCATGTATGATTCGTGATCCTGGCGCGCACCGCAGCGATCGATCGGCGCTACACCGAGCCCCCCCCCCAGGGTGCCCGTCCGAGTGCTTGTGCCCAGTAACCGGATGGCCAGTAAGTCTTGGGCGTGAGGTAGTATCGTTTCTAGGGCCCGCATCCATTTCGTTGGCACTGTATCCGAAATATGTGCATTTCCGCAAAGTTGCGTTGTTGACGCCTCCCATATGAGCTCGACTATCTTCGCTCGCCGTTGTTGCTATGTGACTTCGCGCGCTCGCTTCAACGTTGCAGTAACCTGTTGTAGTTCGTCTTGCACACTCTCGCGCTCTGCGTCGTCACGTCCTTCGTCAAGTCGCCGTCGTATATCTCGCCGTCTTTGCAGTAGTTGCAGTCTGTCTGTTTTCGCTTGCTGTAGTAAATAGTCTAGCTCGTCGTCGTACTGTTTATTGCCGAATGTGTTTGTCAATGCTTCTCTGCGAGCTCTGCCTAGTCGTGCCCAAATGTAATCTGGGGTCCTCTGGGGAAGCGCTTCTTCCCAGACGTCGTAAGCCTCTCGTGTAGCCGACTTGTCCATGTTCCGGAGGAGCTCGGTTCTCTTGTACCCCCCGCGCACACGCTGCATCAAACCGTCTCTGCAAATGCGTTGTTGTAGACGGGTTGGTGGGGGAGGGGCGGGGCGCGCCAGCGTCGATATACTGATGCCCAGTGGGACGTGGTCGCGAAGTCCTCGTGCTCGTATTTTCTGCGGCATCTTCCCAGACCCGCGTAAGGGGCCACAGTGGTGCACATGCCCCAATAGACCTGTCGGTGATGCAATCTGATCTACTCTACTCGAGTGCTCAATAGTAGGTTGGGCCTGTTTCGTAGCACGTAGACACGCTGCTCAAATCGCTGCCCTTACATACTCCTCTGGAGCTAGAACCGTTGGAGTTTTCGCGCTTGGGGCTTTTTGTGCTTACTGTTGGCCCAAGGCTTCTTTGTACACTCCCGTCGGGATCCCTATGGAGGCCAAAGTCGCTGTTGATGTCCCATCCTGCACTAGTCGTCGTACGGCATCCTAGTCTGTCCAGGGATTGCTCTAGCCAGTGACTGATC